CACGGCGTCTTGATCCTGTACATCGGGGCAAATTTAGGAAAAGGCTATGTAACGCCTGTTATTAATCTACCAGCTGCAATAAATCCTTAGGTACCAACCCCGTCCGGTTATCGGCCAGTTCTACCTCATAGGCTGCGGCATTCGTAGAACGTACTTTTACCGAAGTGCCTTCCGGAAGACTAACCGGTACTTTACTGGCTTTACTGTTCATGGTTACATTGTCAGACAAGACAACCCCGCGAATAGTAGCGGTGAGTGAACTGGACGCTGCAAAGGCCATCAGCAAGGCCAGCAGCCATAATACACTTAATGCACCGATGTACTGAGGCCGGATATAAACTCCGCTGCGAAGACGTTTGTAAAGCAATAAACCAATCAGCCCAAGGAATAATAACAGGCTGGCTACCGACCAGGCGGTTATGGTACCGGGGGCGGTCCATGCCTTCCACCAGGTAACAAAGAAAATATCCTGGGCTGGTTGTATAAAGCCCGGGATACGAGACTGTGTCAATAATAAATTATCAGCTGCTTCTTTATAATCCGGCTTGCGTTTTAATGCGCGTTCATAATTGAGCACGGCATACCCGATATTGTTGAGACGATAGTAAGTATTGCCCAGGTTATAAAACACCGTAGCGTCTCCCGGTTTTGTGGCCGCGATCTGCTCAAAGTAATAGGCTGCACTATCATATTCCTTCTGCTGGTAAAAAGCATTGCCTTTATTCCAGGCTGCCTGCAAGTCTGTGGCTGCCACTGCCTGCGAAAAGCTGCCAACCATAAGCAGGAACAGTACGACAATAGGAACCCGGCTTTGGACAATAGCTGATAATAAAGTTGCCCGAAGCTTGCTGCCTGCAAGTATTACAGGCGCAGTGGGCTTTATTCGATCGATCATTAACGCTGAAGAATGGACGGGTTCTTTCATCGGTGTAAATAGTCTTCCAGTTTACTGATGATAGCAATCGCCTCATCATAGGTTTGCTGCATCTGCTGACGGCCGCCGGAAGAGGCATACAGCGCTAGTTCACAGTCTTCCATTACGTTTGAGGTACTTTGCTGTAACGCATATGGAACATTTTTCGCGGTCAACGCCTCTGTAGCCATTTCCTTTGAAAGGGCAGAAAGCGGGATGGACAGCTTATCGCTCAGGTA